GTCAGTCAACCAGTCAGTCAGTCAATAAGTCACTCACTTAGTGAGTCAGTAAATCAATCAGTCAATTAGGCAACTAATTAGTCAGTCAATCAGTTAGTCAATCACCAGCTAATCAGTCAGTCAGTCGGTCCGCATGCATTGACTTTGCTTTGCTAACTCTGACTTAACTTTGAGTTCTATGATCTGCTCTCTTAGAGGAACTGATTTACTTTCATTGTGTAAGCCTGCTTCTTCTTCTTATGGTCGTCACTCTTTTTAAGTATTTTCCTTGCAAAACTTGGAACTCTCTACCTGAGAACGGAACCTATTTTAACTGATTTTAAACGCCTCGCAAAAACAGTCTCCTTTCAGGTACAATTGCTGATTACTACACTAATTGTTTATTTTAGGTATATTATAACCAAACATAATTGTTAGTAGTAGTACATTTTGTTTTTACATTTGCAATGTTTATTTTCCTCGAAGATATTAGCTTTTTAGCTACTTGTAAATTCGGGTTAAAATAAAGTTGTGCATGTAATCCCTTACACATGGTTAGTTGTAGATACAGCATCTGTATAGCAGTTCAGGTATGCTACAATATAGCAAAGACGTAGCTTAAATAACAACAACATCTTTGACTTCTCTCAATATAAATATAAACATGATAACATTTTTAGTTTATTTTGATATACATGTAGGCAGTATGTTTCACATGAGGTAACTGTTATAATCTTGTTTGAATGAGACTGGAGGCTAGATGAACCGTTAGGTTTTCGAGTTAGCCTGCAGCCTAGCTATGTCTCATTGTAGGACAGGAGAGAGAAACAAACAATTTGCAGTTGACAGTTTGGTTTAAGGGAGAAGAAAGTAACAACAACCGTGAAAACGGAAAAATGACTTGACCTGTACAGCAATTGCTTGCTAAATAATTTGCCTAACCGCGTCAGTTTTGTTTTCTACTAAATCCTTACTGTCGAAACCAGCTTACACCTCCCAAAACGTAATTTTTACTATAGGCCACTTGTTTCTTTTCGACATCTGTGCTTAGTAATGATACGAATTTCACAGGTTGTACTTCGAAAAGTGGTCTTAAATAATACTTGATCATGACTTCACGCTACCTCTAAATGAAGAAATTTTAAATATTCGCATATTTGAAGGAAAGCCTATCTCCCCTGCTTTAAAGAAACCGCGTCACGGTTTGCATATCTCGAAAAGTTTAGTCTAAATTTTTTAAGTTCGTCATTTGAAATCCATGTCAATCTTCCTTTTTCTTAACCATCCTTGCTCCTTTATGGTTTATTATTATCTCTTTGGTGTTTTTCTTTCTTAGCAAACTGCTATTTTCAGGTTTCCTTCATTTTAAGGGTAATTTTCAACGAGCCCAAAATAACCCAAAATACCGTGACTACGGTATTTTTAACACAAACAGCTGTTATCCTACGTTTAGCCGTACCTGCTGTACCTATGCTAAACAGCTCTACTCTGCATACATTCATGCTCAACTTTATGTACGTGTCAAAATTTTTAGCCAAGAGGAAACACTCCTCTACTAATTGGGGACGCTTAACATAATTAGAAACCTACACTAAATGTTGTCTAATGAATTATCAAAAAGCATACCAACTATTAACTAATGAGATAAACTATTTTAAAAAAACTTAGCTAAGAAGAAAAAGAAGAAGGGAAACAAAAGTCTAACAATAGATAGATAGATAGATAGATAGATAGATAGATAGATAGATAGATAGATAGATAGATAGATAGATGGCATAGCGTGCACATACGCCTAGATTGCAGTCTACTTAAGAGACCGTCGGCGTGCAGTTAGTGAGTGCTTTGATTTTATCTATAAAAATAAACTTCATCATAACCAAATTGAACTTGCTATCAATTCCTTGACGATGAAGTTTAAACGGATGCATGAAGTAATACTCGTTATGCGGGAAGTAAAGATACCAGAAAAACCTGCCATCACTCACGTCAGGCATGTAGTATCCAGGAAGACGTCTAATGTTCTCGTTTGGCTCTAAAAGGCGATGTATAGTTGGCACAGCGATTTCAAGGAATACCTTTTGTTTATAAAACGTTTCTGAAAGAGTTGAAAACGCTGTGGCGTGCTTTTGAGGAACGTATAAGACGTCCGAGCGACCGCCAAAGCATAGCCGTGTTCCATTACCATTCTTCACAAGAGTATTTAAAAGCTGTCCTCCGTTAAGTTTCTCCTCCTTTAAGCTCATTTTCGCCACATCTTCTAAAGCTCTTCGGCAGTTGCTCAGGCCGTACTGAGAATTCCACCATGACCAGGCGTTGCTTGGAGGTCCGTTTGCGGGACTGGTGATAGGAATGTACGAGTCCCAAAACTTTCCCCAGTCAATATTATCCGGAAAGCTCCAATATTTCAGTATGACATCATCGCTGATGTAAAAATATCCCCTATACCCCGGATGTTGCCGTATTGCTCTGCTAAGACACTCGTAACCCAGAAAACCTTGAATGATATCGACCGTGAGAATGTCTGGGCTCGCTGTTTTGTCAGGCGGTCCGCAGAATAACAGGTTAGGGAAGGCAGGTTTATACAGAGCAACCAGATGAGGTATACTGTCGTAGAATGGATAATTGAAGACAACAACAAGCAAGATGTCTTTGAAGGCGTCTTTTAAACAAGACTTGGAATCTTCTTTGTTAGGCTGATGGCTGTTGTTTGGTAGAACTGTATCTTCGATTCGGTTACTGGAAGGTACGCTCACTGTAGTACTTCTTGGTAGAGCTGTATTTCTGACGCGGTTACTGGGAGGTACGTTCAC